ATGAGTTATAATTTTTTGAAAAATAGCTGACGAAACGGCCAGAACTTTCCTTACAACCTAATACCAACTACGCACAGCTAAAAATAACTCACCGCCCAAAAGGCTTTGGCATATGGTTACAGTTATTTGATTCTGGTTTTATCCCAACACTAACATTATTTCAAACAAATCTCGATATTTCATTTATTACAATTCACAAAGCTACCTAGAACAAGAGATGTTCTTTATTTCAAAAAGTCGAACTCAGCTTCAGTAAATGATTGTACCAGAGCCGGGGTGTGGTGCAGTAGGAACGAAATGTCACGTCGCGGCGAGACGCCGCGTGCGAAGGAATGTAGCAGAATGCAGCAGCGAGTAGGAAATTCGGGGACAAAAGAACTAGCTGTAGAATAATAGGCGGATCGATTATGTAAAACCGTTCCTACTGCCCGCCTCCCCGTAAAGTCGTACTGATCTTACTGTAGCTGGATTCGACTATCAAATCATTTCGACTCCTGTTTGTCATTAATTACTCCATCACAGCCTTACTCTTCTTTTGTCTAGTCTTGTATTAAACATTGTAGACACTTTACCTGCTTCGACGTCCACCGTATCCACCGCCACCACCAGCTCCACGGCCACGACCATGGGAAAGCTCAACTCGCGCACGCACACCACAAATCCTCCTGTGAATTAAGACCAAATAACAAGAAAACAATGTGAGGAACTAGTAACATAGAACGTCTCACGGAAACCGCGAAGTGAGCAGAAGCTTGTACGACCTAAGAACAACAACTTACGATCCATCCAGAGCCTTCACCGCGTCTTCCGCATCTCGACTATCTTCGAATTCCACAAATGCAAATCCTGGCGGGCGACGAGCAACCCAAACCTTGCGAATACGACCAAAACGGTAGAAGGCATCTTCGATCTGGAAGGGTCGAACTGTCGCTTAACTGCAGGACTTCCAAAAAAGACTAGTTAATATCTATCCAAAAACGGTTGCATTAAATCATCAGTTATAGCTTGAATTGTACTCACCTCCTGTGACGTGGCATCATTAGGAAGACCTCCAACGTAGACCTTGCAATCCATGCTTGTCCTGTAAATCGAAATATCAAAACACTGTTTGCAAATACATGAAACGATACCACAGAACATCACTAGTAAAAAGCAATGGAAGACGACATGAAGCTATGCACGATGCTGCAGGCAGAAACATCGATCAAATAGGTGACATCGATTGTTTGGTAACATGACTTTCCAAATGAGTAGTCGGTTACAAGGGTTAGATGGCACGTAATCGAGTGCGGTCTTAAAAAGTAGTCAAACCATGCATTAGCATTGTGTGCGGCTATGTCCTTTCCAATAGAAATTGGAGGAAAGCTAGGGGAGAGAAAGCCAAGCGCAAAGAGAATGTCGAGTAAGCATGAAATTGGGTGGAGACGAAGGATAAACGTAACGAACGCAATAGGGTGTTGCAAAATAATGAACTGGATGTGCAGGATAGCTTTATAAATAGAGCAATAGAAGGTTCGAGACGTGTACTGTTTCAAGAGAGATTTTAAAATCACGCTCTGAAGAATGGGAAAACCGACACTAACCGAACCAGAAGAGAAAGGCTGTTACGGCTAAGTGATAGACTGCGATGCTATAATTTGGTGAGTCGAAGGAAAGAAACGAGCGCTTATCGCTTATGCAATTCGAAATAATTATCAAGAGGCATGCAAACTGTGACCTGATAGCACAACAAAAATGGTGTCCGAAAGGTTATTTAAGGCTCCCATACAGAAGGGGTTTCAGTGAAAATGTAGTGGGGGAGGATACGTAACAGTGTTGGCATAACAAGAAACTAACACTGTGTTACGCGTTATTCCGTGCTATACCCGGGAAATGCAATATTAAATCTAAGCCTTAGGTGGGAAAGAGCAATAGGAGTGGGCGAGTTTTCAGCTTTTGCCCGAGGTAATCATCTTACCTACCCGCTTGCTCCCACACTTCTAAGGCTTAGTTTAAAAAATCACACCCTCTGCCTAAAACCGCATAAGAGCGCACAGATAGCCAATGCCAAATTTCCACAAGGAGACACATCGACATGACTACGCTCACGTCACGTTTTGCGTCAGTTTTTTATTGGACGAATCTGGTTCCCATCGCGTTTGAATACGATTACTGTCCGAATTCCATTAGAGGGGTATAATTCTTTGTCTGATACTGGACGACGAAGGACTCGCTGCCATTCGACAGTGATTTTAAAATACAGCAATAATAGCAATACATTGCAATTCATTGAAGTGACCATCACGCTATTAGTGCAATGGAACGCGTATTTAAAGTACACCTTATACGCTATTTTCGCCTTTCATTACATGACAAAAGCAGCTCAAAATGTGCAGCGACGGATTGATCGTTAACTTGGTTCCAACTTACCAAGACAACTGGAAAAACCAGTCAAGAAATCTAGTTTTACAGTTCACATTACAGACACTAGCTTAAATGACAAGGGATAATATAATATAGTAGTGCATTTCCACGATAAGCCCGTCACGATTGGAGTAAAAGTACAGTCCGAGCAGCCACATTCCAATCACAAAGACGTACGAGTACTATGCCCATACAATGAGGTCGTTTGCTAAAGTAGGCAGTCGCAAAGTGCAAGCGAACGCATCCATTCAATAGGTGTAGAACTGCGGCTTGCCGACAAGTGCGGACCGGCGACGAGCGACGGAATGGCGGGCGACCGGCGACGGCGTCGATCGATAATCTGTGGGACTGATGCTAGGATCAACCCTTTAACCCTTTAACGTTGCTCATATATGCCTATTTGTTTCGCTCTTGATCGTGAATCACCTCACTTCGCAATCGGTTACATGGTGGAGTGATATCCCAAAAGTGCAAAGCACAACGGACGCGTACAAGCGCCATAAAGGCGTGAATTCTGAGCACAAGTAGGACTGATTATCGACCATGTAACGTGTTGATCGACTCCACTCGCAATACCAACTGTTCATAGATCTGGTAATCGTGGGAATCGTGTGATCGATCGTAAGTGTGAATTTGCTGTATTAGGATTGGCTGTATGTGACGATTTTGCCATGCGAGTTCAGTATTTAGTAACCGAACACGGAGGACTGAATTGCTTGTCTGACTCTAGCAAGCACCGAACTGGCATTTGATACTCCAACCACACTACTGGCAGTAACGAAACAGCGCCGCACCACCCGCACCACACTCTACTAACATGTTCCGGAAACTCATGCAAACAACTGATTGCTGTGAATCTACAACTCTTACTCCTTGATCATGAAATCAGCCCTAGATTCGGAAGAAAAAACTTCCAAATTGAAATGAAACGTGACTTCGACCACATCGTGTTTCCCTCTCAGAATGCTAGCAAGATTGCCAATTATTAAGCGTATCGAACCACAAATGATCGATCGCTCATACTCAGCAGCAACATTGATGTACGAAGATAATTTAGATTTAATTGAAAGTCAAGAATACTGAAGACGGGTCATTCGGACTGAAACGAAAAAGGAAAAACGAAAGCACACTCGAGCCGCGAGTGATCCTGGCGATGCCACCAGCGTTCGCGCGAGCATGCGTGCGGGGCATCGTTTTAGGACCCTTCGCCCTGTAATAATATGTTGCCCTTCAATAGCGGGCAGAACCGATTGAACTCTGTTAAGAACTGGCATTGATATACAGTTCTATGGATCTTGTTAAGGAATTGGAAACATAGCCCAAAGATTATTCTGTAAGTTTGCTTTCAATCACGTTGTAACTTATTGATGTTTGTCTGGTTTGTGCTTTGTACCATCGTTGTTCGGCTGCGCCACCAGTTCTTCTATGCTGGTCTTTTCTACGTGGCAATTTGTCATATTTACATTGCAGTTCCCTTACAGTTTCATTTTTCAGTAGAGTAGTACCTCATTGAAATAATTTCAACTTATGAAAGCGAGAAAATATAAAATTGACGTTTGACTGGAAATGCTAGTCATATTATTGCTTAATTTAGCTTTTATTACCCATAAATAGCAAGTTACGTCGGATTTTTCACACATTTGATCCTTGATTTTCGCGAATTCGCTGAAATCGCTTCGGCTCCGCTTGTGAAAAGGCTGCTCCGCTACCGCGCGCGTATGTTTCATAAGCTGCTGCCGTAGAAGTAGTAATAATGGCAGAAAAGATCACTTTAATACTAAAAAGTTTTTGTTTTGAATACGGTAATGTTGCAGTAAATATATGTGATGGCTTCCGTACTATCCTCGTTCTTCTCCCGCGATCCAAAATCACAGTTCCCTTACGAGTTACCACAGGGCCCAGGCACATACCACAATGGACTGAATTTTGCTGATAGTTTCAAAAAGGTATGTGCAACGAGACAAATCAAGCTATCTAATCTGTTTGATTACTATCTTTCTTAGTCGGAGCCGGATGAGTTGGCCACCGTTTTTTGGACCAGTGGTCCGCATTCGACCCTTAAACTTCAAGCACAGAAGCTTCGCACTATGCGGCATCCAGATATTCTCACATTTCAAGATAGTATAGAGGTTGTTTGTTTAGTGATTTTTAAGTGAATTTTGCATATTTTTTTGTGATTGCGCTCGCGCCATAACATTCTTATGAATGTTCTAATTTCCAGGTGGATAACACATTTTATTTGGTAACAGAGAAGTGCAAGCCATTATCAGTCTATCTAGAGGATATGTCCTTAAATGGTACTCAGAAAGAATTTGTAGTTTCATGGGGACTTTTTAGAGTTATGGTGAGTTTTTTACCGCTTCGTTTGTTAAAGTTCTAGTTAGAGGCTTCAAATGTTCTTCAGAACCTGGTCATTAGAGAATCCTTAACTAGGCTAGTTTGCTTACAGCTTTTGCTGTAAGAAATTTCTTATTGTCCTTGCTTTATTCTGTCTGCCAACCTCTCCTGTTTAGAACGCTCTCAAGTTTCTTCATGAAGCCAATCTTAGCCATGAAAATGTTAGAAAATCTATTTATGTTACGGCAGGTGGTGACTGGAAACTTGCTGGTTTCGATCGTGTAACTCAGTTCAGGTGAATACTTGTGGATATTCACTATCCTCTCTGCTAGGTTTCTTCCAATGAGCCAAATCGTTAATTCAGCTCCCCACGCTCGGACTTGAATCAATTAGCAATTCTATTATGGGAAGTGTTCAACGGGTTCAAAGAAGGTATAACTAAACCAGAAGCTCCCGGACGAATGCCACAGAAGCTCCACGATTTGTATAAGAAAATAGCTTCACCTGCTGCTGGTCGAACATCAGTTTCAGATTTGATAAAAGGTTATTTATTTAAAGATTATGCTCCACATCTCTAAACAGTCATGACAACTGACTTTCAGAGTGCAGAGAGCGTGGCGGCTTTTTTAAAAACAAATTCGTTGATACTTTGTTATTCTTGGAAGAGTTCCAGTTGAAAGAGTCCAGCGAAAAGCAGCCGTTTTTCGTGCACCTAAGGGAAAACCTTGATATTTTTCCTGATGATATTGCCAAATACAAAGTTTTACCTAAAATTATCCAAGTGAGTTGATTTTCTCTCCACATTGTTGTTGTGGTATATATGTGGTCCTTTGCAGACATATGAGTATGGTGATGCTGGTCCTAATATTTTGATTCCTCTTTTCAAACTTGGACGTTTATTAGCTGAAGATGAATATCAGAGGAGAATTGTGCCATGTTTAGTAAAGGTATGTGCGATTAGTACTTAGCTTCAATAATCTTTTGTAGTTTGTTTATTAGGTTTATTTCTTTTTTACCTATAAACTTTTTTACAGCTTTTCGGAAGCCCGGATCGAACGACACGTGTTAAACTTTTAGAGCGTATAGATGAGTTTGCTCCACACTTGACTTCCCAAGTCGTTAATGACAAAATATTCGCGTGAGTCTCTCAATGAGATTTTTTTCTACTCACTTTGATGTTAAAGAACATCTAAAAGAACATGAATATTTTATACTTCTACCATTTAAGTAGTGTCCCAGCCTTCTAACAGCCCTTTCCTTTTGTTTTGGGCATTGTATGTTTTTTATTGTATTGTTGGACACTAGGATGAAAAAACTTTGAATTTTGAACAGTGTAGAAAACAAAGCCTTTCTTTAGAAACCTCGCATCTGGATTCCTTGATACATCACCCGCTGTTCGTGAAAGTACAGTCAAAGCGATGGTACCTCTAGCGGAAAAACTGAACTTTAATAATCTCAATGTGGAGTTAATGAAATATCTGGCCAGGCTTCAAGGTAACTAATCGCTGATCTTTTCTTCACCTGCTGACGTTACATCACATTTCAGGGGCGGATGAACACGGTGGCATTCGAACGAACACCACTATTTGCTTAGGTAAAATTGCAAGTTATCTCGATCCCTCCAAGCGGCAAATGATTCTGCTGAGTGCCTTCGCAAGAGGAATGAAGGTGAAACAAGTTAATAGAAATTAGAATCACAGGCCTCTATATGGAAACGTTCACATTAAATTCTTTCAGGATCCATTCCCACCCTCTCGGATGGCTGCTGTTTTAGCTCTGTCTGCTACACAGCAATTCTATTCACTCGTTGAAATTGCCAATCGTGTTCTACCTGCACTCTCGCCATTAACATGTGATCCTGAGAAACAGGTTTCAGTCCATTTATCTACTTTCGAGTTATTTAAAGTGGTATTCTTGAAGAGCGTTTCTGTATAGGTACGAGATCAAGCATTCAAAGCCATAAAAGGGTTCATGGAGAACTTGGAGAAGGCGAGTGAACATCCAGAGTTAATACCAGAAATCGAGTCGCAAGTGAAAGCTGGTGGTCGGTCTCTGCTTAACAGTGACAAGGTGCGATGCCTTTTTGATAGCATTGATTCTTTTTCTCTCATCTATCCTTCGTATTTCGATTCAGGTTCCTCAATGGGCAAGTTGGGCCTTGAAATCACTTTCTGGTAAATTCTACAAAGGAAATCCACCAGCAGATGTACGGCCAACAACTTCTCCAAGTAGTAACGAGACTTCTGGAACCGCGGAACGACCCACAAGTTAGAAAATTGTTTGGTTAAGTTTGAGTTCACTCACTTTGAATCGAGTCTGAAGTGCCATTTGGTGTCGCTATTATATTATGCTATATAGTGAAGCTCTTTGCTTTCCTAAGACGGATCTCTCTCATTTTTACTTTTCTTCTATAAACCATGGTGAAAATGAACGCTATGGTTTCATTGTTATAGCGCCTCCTGAAACCAAAAAGCCGACCGAGCCTACTCATGATGATGATGGGTGGGGAGACTTGGGCGATACGGCTGATATAGGTCTGTTTTTTAATCATTGAGGTTTAGCGGTTGCGGCTTTTAAGCCTTGCTAGCCTCTATCTGAGCCCTGTTTTTGTTAGATAACCGAGCGACCATTGAATAAGGCCTACCCATGGTGGAAAACTGCGATTAATTATTATCTACTAGCAAGTTTGTTGCAGGTTCAATAGATGAATGGGCCGATGCCATGGAGCCGCCAGTTCCTTTGAAAACGGATGAAGATGATTGGACAGGCGGATGGGAACCACTCGTATGTGAAAGTTTAGATGTATCATGTTTGTTAAGATGTCAATAGGCTGGGTTTTATCGTACAATGACGAAATAGGCATTCAAAAACCTTCGCAAGTTCTACTAGTTTTTTGCCTTTCAGAAACCCACAATATCTCCCATTCCTCCAGCGCTTCCGAAGCCTTCTGCAACCTTTGCGTCACCAGTAACTATCGATCCACCACCAAAAAGAGTTGTTCCCGAGAAAAAAACCGGAGGCTTGAAGCTTTCGCTTTCGAAGCCTAAGCCTGCAGGTAATTCAAACCAAGACTAGTACTAGACTCCTTTCTTCCTGTAAACATGTATTTTTTAGTCGATGATATTGACTCTTTATTGGGAATCAAGCCTTCGATTTCGAGCGGAAATGGTTCATCGAATGCATCAAGTCTGCTATTAGGCTAACTTCTTTTTCTCTACTTATATATATGTATATATATAGTGCTTTTTGAATTTTTTTACGTTCGTTGAAACCTTTGGATTTGACCTCTTTTTGCTTTAAAATCTTATTTAGGTAAGAGCGCCACTCCAACGGCAGCAGGCTGGGGGGATTTTGGAAGCGGAAGTCGTAATAAATCTGACGATTGGGGAGCTGACTTGAGTGAGTTCGTCAGAGTAGACAGTGACTGCAGTCCGAAAGAAAACATGTTGTAATATCATGAGTTTTCTAGCAGAGTTGGCGAAGCCATTGGCAATGGCAAGTCTCGGGGCTAATAAAGATAAAAGTGAGTCCAGAATTCAGTTCAATTTTTTCTTTGTTTTGCGGTAATAAATTGTGATAGGGTTTAGAAGTGGTCAGAGCACTAGTTAGACAGTTGCGCGCGCAATCTCAAACATGATCTGTGAAATGTGAACGCTACCGGCACAATTAGCTGATGATGCGTAAATAGCTATCTAGTTTTGTCAGCACAGAGGGGGCCGACATTGCGATCCGGGATTTGATCCCGTTTTTATTAATGCGCCTTATCACTAAACCAAATCCTCCCACTTCGTTTTGATATCGAGGAATGAATAAAAAGACAGCAGGAATATTATGATCTGTATATGTCTGGGATTAGGAAATGCTCGAATGTGAAATGAGCTTGATGGATTTGTTCTAGCTGCTCGTCGCGGAGAAGCAGCGGTCCGAAATGAAACACGTCGTAAAGAATTGACCGAGAAGAAAGTCAAGCGAACGACAACCAAACCAGCGGTAAGCTTTTTTATTTCAGTTTCCATGGATTTTTCTCGAAATTTCTCGTTGCATTCCCTGGTAAAACATTTCTATATAGTCTCGTATTATTCAGACCAACACTTCAAGCACGTTGGAAGGTTTTGAAGATTGGTGAAGTGTTTTTAGTCGACGTATTCATACTACCAACGGAACAATAGTATTTAAAGAGTTACTATAATCTTCCCGCTCCTAATGGAATTGCTTCGAGATTTTCTATTTGGTAACCGCATTTATGGTTAATCGTTGTTTTACCATTCCTTGAGTACTTATGGCCAACTTTATGCCCTTCTCTAACCGGTTTTCAACTTTCTTTTTCTTTGTTGTTTTGATATTATATATCGCGTAATCGCTGATTAAACTGTAAGGGTTGCAAAGGATGTAATCGAAACTGTTAGCTTATAGACATAATGTGCATTGTGTCTCATCACTTTTATCTGTGATATATGTATTTGCGCTATTTTAGTGTGAATTTCTCGATTTTTTTTTTGATGAAATTGCTTATTTTATATTTATTAAAAGGCGTCAGATAATCTCTTGTTAATTGTTGGAGGAGGCGGCAACCGCTGAAAAAAGCCTGAGAAGGTTCTCGAATTGCCATTTTCATGGAATGGTCTGAACTGAGCTCCCGTAGGAGAAAACATTTCAACTGAAACTAATTTGACAATTATGGCAAATTTAGTGCTCTGTTGGGTGCTAGGGTACTCTATCGACCAATAGGTGTAAGAACACACATTCCATATCTACAATTCGAGCTATTGGATCATATCTGCTAATC